TATTAAGGAAACGTTTCTTTGAGGAACTCCATACAGATTATTGAATCCAAGAAAACAAATATTTGCTTTTCAGTCTACTAAAATAAAAATTAATAGGTTTGTGAACATTAGAAGACTTATTGCGATTCGATTCATAAGATCAAAGGATTCGTGATGCGTCCGTTTCTCTGGGCAGGACCTGAAAACAGTACACCTGGAAAGCAGTGTTCCTGTGAAAATATAAGACCCGCAAAGAGCGAGAGGACCATGGATTCCTGCCCAGCTAGGTGGCTGGGCTTTTCTGTCTTTTCGAAGGATTCTTAGTTTATTTTTCTTTCGTAAAGAATCAAAAGAATCTGATATTAAGAATCTGATCTTGAAATATCTCAAAGAAGCGCATCCTGATTTTTGGAAAACTCTTAGCCGGTTAAATAAAGAGGAGATCTCGTGGCGTCACGTTGCCATGGTAGTAAAACTTCTAGATGACAACAAACGAAAACGTCACTTAAAAAGTGTATTCGCACTGTTTCAGACGTCATCGATCTTATTCAATTTCATTTAATATGTGAATGTTGGCGAAATTTTCTGGAATCGGAAAGGACCGTATTTATGTTGAGAAACAGAAAAATAAATTTTTTTTGTTGAGTTCACCAACTCCATAAAGCAGAGATTAGGAAGATTCATGTCGCAGTCGCAATACAGTATCAAGTATCGTAGGTGTCGTGACATGTTCTTCTATTTATGCGATTATGGAGAAAAGGGTCAGCGTTAGTCGATCGAAAGAATCTGGGTACGAGAAAAGGTCCAACGATTCCGCTTCCACCTAGCCTGAGATCATGCCCTCTCCCTATTATCCCTTTATATCTCTCACGGGAAGAGGGCATGATACATTTGTTTGTCGGATCATATGTAAAAAAGCCAGAATCTGGACTTTTTCCTGAAACCTATCCTTTGTTATGCTTACTAAACGCGACAAGGCTAACCGGTTTTACGGCGGTAGGCAATCAACAACAACTAAAGTCAGACGTAAAAACGAACGCATTACTCGTCACTTATGTGTGCGCTCATCGTTCGCTCATTTCTACCGGCTCAGCTTTCTTGAATTTGAAGAATGCCTAGATAGAAATTTCATTCATTGAAATATTTTCCATCTCATCGTTTACACCGATCATTTGAATGCAATTTGATACCGGCTACAAGTTACTAAAGCGACAAACGGGTTCACTTTTCAAATGGAATCTTGACCCGGCTTGACTGTAATTCCTCCTTCAGCAGAAACCTGCGAATATTATTCTGAGCGATCTTCGCTTTCACAACACCTTTCAGTTCGTGAAATATGGTACTTCAGCCTAATTTTTTTTTCACTGCTTTTGGTACAGAACGAAGTCAACGAGCTTTAACCAGTAAATTCTTTATTATTTGTAGCTGTTAAATAAAGGTACGGGCGGCAGCTCCAGCTAGCAGTATTTCATCACAAAAACAACACATCTAAAAAATTTTTTAGGAAGCGCCATCTGAACATGGACGTACTTAAAAATTTTCTTTTCCCTAAAATTGATTTCAAAACAGACATTATTCGCGCCAAAATTTGATTCCCGTATGGTAAACGCTTATTGGCTAATAACATGACAGGTCAAGTAGACGTTAGATTATGTAAATTAGGGGGTGGTTGACGGCTTGTTAAATAAATGTATCAGGCGTTATTTTTTTTCCTTCTCGAGCCAAAGAAGCAAAAAAATAAAATAATAAAATAACGCCTGATCTCAGGTTAGCTTCCACCCCCGATACAGAACGCTCGTCTTTTTAGCCGAAGAACTGAGTCAACCGAGCAAGCTCTTAGAAAGTCTGGTCTGCAAAAAACTGGACTTTTTCCTAGAGCGTTATATGTGACCGGAGGAGTAACTCACAATGGGACTTTAGAAAAGGTAAATCTACAGAGCTGTTACAACTTGACATGATAGAGAAATTGAGATTTGCCCTAAATCAGAAGAAATCTGTTGGTGTCGTCTTTATGGATTTCCAAAAAGACTTTGACTGTTCTTCCCATCAACTTCTGCCTATTAAGCTGCAAGCTTCTGGCCTCTGCTTGTACGAACGATTACAACCCGATGTATGTGCAAGGATAATAGGATGTAAGACCTAAATGGAACGATTTGACTTTTTCTTTGGTTTGCATCTTGGAGGGTGGCTTTATTCTCACACCAATAATCTATCTAAGGATCTTCAGGGTACTGGCTGGAGGTTGGTGCTGGTGCACCAAGCTACCCCCAAACTGCCAAAGATCACTTTAGAAGGGTCTGTTATGAGGCTATTGATCTTATCGTCAGTGCTATTCAGCTCCTACGCTCAGATACAGACCCTCTTGGTTAAAGCTGCTAATGGTGACCACTATTAGGCAGAGTTCAAGTTTCTTGAAGCATCATACAGAGAAGATGTTGATACAGGGGCTCTACCTGGGCATGCAACTGAGTATTTTGGAAGTTATGTTATAGGAGAAGATGGCTGTCAGTGTGTTTTGACAAAATCCTGTTGGCGGTTTCAAAGTTTCCAGAACCAGAAAAGAAGCTAATTCAGAAAGCCCAAACTAGTCTGTAAGCTACCTGCTGTAAATCCTGCAACCGGCGCTGCTGGTGAGCGTTCATTCTCATCTGCACGGCATCTGAAGACGTGGCTTCCATCCACGATGGGTGACCTAGCAGTGTTGAATGGTCACAAGCGGAGAACAGACAGTGTCTCTATAGCTACACAGGACTCAGTTTGTTTCCCGCAATAAGAATCGCAAGAGAAGCTTCGGCACTTAGGAGGTTTATTTAACATATTGCCTATATTGGATAGTATAACACGTCTGGACGTTTATGTTATATACTTGTTGAGGTGGTGAATAAGATGGTGAGCAAATGCACGATAAATGGCGAAACACCGCCAGATTTTTTAGCCCTACCACCTTAAAATGGTCTTCGCGGACCCTGGCGTGTAAGGAGGTCAATCTCCAAAATTTCGACGGGAATATAGAATGAGAGTCGGACAGAATTAAATTAGAGATGAGCTTACAGTACTCGTCTATGTTTCACATTTAATATTTCAAAGAAAACATTTCACGTAAGAGAATAAGAGCATTATTCATTGCAAGGAATCACTGCGGTGTTCTAACTGATTCCGGACCGATCGCAGAGGTCGTGGCTTCACTGGCATGGCTTGCAAGATTTTTGATAGAAGCAAACTGGTCCCGTTTAAAAATAGCCTGAGAGGGAGTGTGAAAATTTGTTGAGATCGTACAAAACAGGATTGGTACTACCTATTAACTTATACAGGACAAGAATCAAAGAAGCAGTCATCATAACAAGAATAAAAAGTAGTTCAAATTTACTAATTTTTCTTGTTTGTTTTTTATTTGTTGTTTCGTGTTGACTTCACGCATCTGGTGCTTTCTTTGCTTGCTGTAGTACCTGCAATGTTTTAATTTTATCCTAGATAATGAGTGCATGTTCAATGAGAAGCGAAATACATCATTTACAGTTGAAAGTTTCCTCCTTTCTTTGATTGTTTTTAACTGTGGATGAACATTTGGAGAATCCAACAACAATAAATCTTTCCAGATTTGGTGAATTTCAGAAACAAAGCGGTTAGTATCTACCTTGCGCTTATGATCTTCAATTTCATCCCCGCAAATTCGGCAAAGTGAGTCGAGATGTTGGACGTGAATATGAAGTTGTTTTGGCCTTGAAGAGAAAAAAGGCAAACGCTCGTATTAATGCGAAAAAAAGTAATAGCACGGCTCTGTGAGAAACCCGGGAGTGGAAAACGTATGTGTTTTGGACCTCGGAATTGTCTACCAAAATTCTACCAAAATTCTACCAAAATTCTAGGTTGTCTACCACCCCCACATTCAACATGATAAAAGTTATTCGATATGACAATCGAAGAAAAATATCTAGAACTTCGTAAAAAATCTGTGAATCAAAAAAATAATAGATACTTGTTTAGGTACCTTGAGAGGACCAAAATCTCGCCTATTAATCGCGTTGATTAAAAGAAGAAATAAGCCACAAAATGTTCTGAATATTTCACGAGACACTTCCAATATGGCTTCCGATACGCTCTCCACTTAAAAGAATTGTGTGTTCTTCATGAAAATATGCCTGAGAGCCTCGAAACGATGACTGGTTCTGTCCGACTCCGTCCACTGTTGTGAAAATTTTTTATCACCGGGGCGATGTTTTGATTTGGGTTTAGATAAACACATAAACAAAAGCGCGCCTTCTCACTGGTTAAAAAGTGTCGCGTGACCAGTTGAACCCTGTTCTTAATATTAGGAAGCCTAGTCCATAGGCGTTCTCTCTTGATCCGTTGTCCGCGCAAAGTCTGGTAGAGAGCGGGCGAGAGTAACGCGTTCTCGGCGAGTATCCCGGTGACGTCACAGCTCATGGTAGAGTCCAGGAATGACCGAGCCGAAAACGCCTGGGGACTACAATATTCCGGACTGTTTATCCAGCCACGATGAGCAATATCTTTCATGACATACATAAAAAGGTTTTCTTTTTTTCGTGAGTATGGGATACTAGTTCTCTTCAACAACATTTCCCGATATCTATTGTTATTAATTAAATCGCTAAGTCTCGTATCCCGTTTATAGGCAACCTCGTCCCCAGGGATTTTCCCTTCATTTTTAAGGGAAAGGCCCTGGGGACGAGGTTGGTTTATAGGGAGCTAGTAATATTACAATTCCGCATCTCCCTCTCCAATTTTCTTAAAATTCAGTATCCCAGCCTAAGAATAGGCCAGATCTCGGATACCGAATAACTTATTGGGGACCCTCCAACTCTCTTTCATGCGTAGCACTCGTTTCCATTTCCTTTTTGGGGGAGTGGGAAAAGCACACCGGACGCACGAAGGCATGGAGCATAAGAAGGAACACAAAATAGAAACAGAGGGAAGGGGCGGGAAAGAAAAGGAATCACTTTATTTGGCTAAAAGGCGACAGAAGCGACTGCTACGCAGCCTAGATTGCCAATTAAGACAATTTATAGGATCAAACAAGATGCTTTCTGGTGCCGATCTTTAGCTCGACTGCTTACAAGGTGTTTGTTTACTAATGCCAACTCACTACGAATTCTTTCTACATACTTATGATCTTCACCGAAAATTTGTTTCCTAATCGTCAGTGCTTTCTCGTGAAGTTCTTTGGCTTGATTGTATTCTCCCAGGCCTTCGTACACTAATGCCAAGTTGTTATAACTTGTTGCTACATCGGCATGATCTTCACCAAAACTCTTTTTGCGAATTATCAGTGCTTTTTCGTGAAGTTCTTTGGCTTGATTGTATTCTCCCAGGCGTTCATATACTGATGCCAAGTTGTTATAACTTGTTGCTACATCGGCATGATCTTCACCAAAAATCTTTTTCCAAATTATCAGTGCTTTTTCGTGAAGTTCTTTGGCTTGATTGTATTCTCCCAGGCTTTTGTACACTACTGCCAAGTTGTTATAACTTGTTGCTACATTGGCATGATCTTCACCAAAAATTTTTTTCCAAATTATCAGTGCTTTTTCGAGAAGTTCTTTGGCTTCATTGTATTCCCCAAGGGTGTCGTACACTAATGCCAAGTCGTTATAACTTGTTGCTACATTGGCATGATCTTCACCAAAAATCTCTTTGCGAATTATCAGTGCTTTTTCGTGAAGTTCTTTGGCTTGATTGTATTCTCCCAGGCGTTTATATACTGATGCCAAGTTGTTATAACTTGTTGCTACATCGGCATGATCTTCACCAAAAATCTTTTTGCGAATTATCAGTGCTTTTTCGTGAAGTTCTTTGGCGTCATTGTATTCTCCCAGGGTGTCGTACACTAATGCCAAGTCGTTATAACTTGCTGCAACATTGGCATGATCTTCACCAAAAATCTTTTTGCGAATTATCAGTGCTTTTTTGTGAAGTTCTTTGGCTTGATTGTATTCTCCCAGGCGTTTATATACTGATGCCAAGTTGTTATAACTTGTTGCTACATCGGCATGATCTTCACCAAAAATGTTTTTGCGTATTGTCAGTGCTTTTTCGTGAAGTTCTTTGGCTTGATTGTACTCTCCCAGGCGTTCATATACTGATGCCAAGTTGTTATAACTTGTTGCTACATCGGCATGATCTTCACCAAAAATCTTTTTCCAAATTATCAGTGCTTTTTCGTGAAGTTCTTTGGCTTGATTGTATTCTCCCAGGGTGTCGTACACTAATGCCAAGTCGTTATAACTTGTTGCTACATTGGCATGATCTTCACCAAAAATCTTTTTGCGAATTATCAGTGCTTTTTCGTGAAGTTCTTTTGCTTGATTGTATTCTCCCAGGCGTTTATATACTGATGCCAAGTTGTTATAACTTGTTGCTACATCGGCATGATCTTCCCCAAAACTCTTTTTGCGAATTATCAGTGCTTTTTCGTGAAGTTCTTTGGCTTGATTGTATTCTCCCAGGCTTATGTACACTACTGCCAAGTTGTTATAACTTGTTGCTACATCGGCATGATCTTCACCAAAAATCTTTTTGCGAATTATCAGTGCTTTTTCGTGAAGTTTTTTGGCTTGATTGTATTCTCCCAGGCTTATGTACACTACTGCCAAGTTGTTATAACTTGTTGCTACATCGGCATGATCTTCACCAAAAATCTTTTTGCGAATTATCAGTGCTTTTTCGTGAAGTTCTTTGGCTTGATTGTATTCTCCCAGCCTGTGATACACTTCGCCAGTTACATTCAAAACTCTCCCTTTACGAGCAAACGCACTCGTTGAAATGTCGTCTAAGTTCCACAGTAGGTCATATGCTAAGTTGACCACAATTTTCGCAAAAAAGAAATAGGAGCTTTCTTGACAGACCCTGGCGAGTTTTTGTAGCCAATCAATAACTGTATCCAAATTTATGAAGGGCGCAAACTTTTCTGAAAAAGTGCTTTCATCTGAACTAAACTCTGACGTCATCTGGTTAAGTAACGATTCACAGTGGGGCCTCAATTTTTTACAAAACGTATAATTCTCGTAGTTTTCTTCGAGTTGGGAGTTGAAAATCTTTACCGCTTCTGCCATGGTGTGGTCACTCTCCCGGCATGATTTCAGGTTAGCTATCTCGCCTCGTTTCAAAGCGTCATGCACTACTTTATGTAAACGTAAATAAGTTCGTTTACCCCCTTCTTCGGAATGAACAAGACTTAAAGAGGACCTTACAATGTTTGCCTTCATTAAAACCTCTGGATGGTCCTTTACTTGGGCTTTGACGAACTTTAAAACAGTTTCGAGTGGTAGGTCGTCGTTAGCGCAGAGCGAAAGAAAAGAGTATGTATGAAGAAGAACCTCGTCTGTTTCAACAGCTCTTTGGATAGCCATTTCTACTGCGGCCATTGTTGTTTTAGCGTAGGCTGAACTCTCATTAGCAAGGACAGTTTCGGCCGATTTTCGCTGGCTGTA